AAATTGCTTTGGCAGCTGCTTTTGCATCCAAATTCTTTCTCCAATAATGACGCAGCAATACGTGAAGCTCAAAATTTGTGATTTCGTAATCAGACATCTTAAAAAATCAATAAATTTTCATAATAGTCACAAAACCAGATCAAAAACACAAAAAACAATATATAAAAAATCATTATTTTAACACGGCGCACGAACTTTTTCCTCAACCTAATAATAGACTGATTTTTGTAAAAGTGTGAGAGTAACTCTTAGCCTACAATGCGAGAAAGCTGGGAAAAAAATGACGGCAGAACAACGACTATGCAATTTATTCATATGTTGTACTTTATCAGAATAGAGCACAAAATGCGTGAGCATTTTATTTGACTGATAAAAGTAACGGTAAAGTGGTCTCCCTAGTTATTACTATAGTATGAAAAATTACCTACGAGAATAAATGTCACGGTGGTCTTCCCTACAAATAAAATCGTTTTCTTTAAATTTAGTTTTATACTGAATAACAGAAAATGGTCTATATACCTGCTCCGTTATGGCCTAATAAACAACATACTTCTTTTTTGGAAAAGTCAAGTGATAAATCTGATACTGCAGAAAACTTGTTGAATTTCTAATTTAAAAGAAAGCAAAAAAAGTAGTATGTGCGGGTGTTATAAAAAATCACTTTATACTTACTTTCGTTAAGTTATTGATTGACACACACGGTGTTGTATTCGACTTTGTTTCTTGAATCCATCGATTTAAGACAGTAATTTCAGTTCCATTTTGATCAAACTTTGGATCAATTTTTGATTGTCGTTTCCAGTACGACGGCTAAACTAGACGATACCTATTTACAAACCATCCAAGCTTAACTCGTCGTTTTGTGAATAAGTGCTGAGAGACTATTAAGGGTATTCTCCTCTCTTTTTTCAAACTGTTGGCAAATATGAAAATAAAGATTTCTTTTGAACCTAAATTTTTACAAGAGATAGAACGTCGATAACAAAAATCGATGCATTTTTGGCTAGAATTTCCTGACATGCTCTTCTAAGAATTTTCTGAAGATGTCTGTTTCGATTCAGTCACGTTAAGATCTCTTGAAACAATGATTCAACTGAGGTCAAATTTTTACTACAGATATTTCACACCCTATCTCAAATTCTAAATTTTTATTCGTAAATATGCGTTCCACCTCGATAAGTTCAACAGATGCTGAAAATTCTATGTAAACATCGATTTTTGGTTTTATGAAAATTTCTCACGACACAAGCTGAAATTGGAAACACATGTAAAATAGATAAAGTGTCAAATATGCGGGGGAAAAAATGAAGCTCGATCGGACCATTTTTTCTAAAGTTCGTAACATGACTGGATTCGAACTACTATGTATAAAGAACACTCTAGTGAATTTGCTCATACCATGGGTATGACTTACTCAAAATATTGTGCCGGAGTACTCGACAAGTACTCACAGTGAATTGTACCTATTGAGTATTTGAGTATCCATATGAGTATTCAAAAAATACTTATTAACCTTTTTGTTTTACAAAGACGGAGCTATATAAGATACACAAATCTCACTATAAAAACTTCAAATTTTTTCACCAGTATTTCTCTCACAATCACAGATGCTCTCGACTATGAACAGACTCGTAGACAAACTCTGAGTAACTATATTTCCTTAAAAGAATGACAAACGAAAAAGTGTTCATGAAAATCTCATATAAATCTCATATTCACATACTCAAAACTCGCACATCAGTACTCATAAAAGTACTCAGTGAGTAAAAAGCTGCATGAATACTCGGTATATTTTTCTATATGAGTACATCTTTGAGCACTTGTGCTTGAATACATTCGATACGACAACGATCTCTCTGGAAAAACTTTTCAACTTATTTTCATTTCTCACGAAAACTATTGATATGATCAGTACTTAAAATGCTCTCACGGTCCTCCAACAGGACTATCCATCAGCTGCTAATAAGAAGAATGAAATGCAAAAGTAGCCCACGTTAAGGTAAGAAGAACTTTGTCCATCTTAAAATAAAACGGCATAAGTAGGTTGCGAAATAGTCGGTCGATTCATCTTGATAAAAGGGAGCAAAAAGGCTTATGATAAGACAAATCAATTCAATAATTTCGAATAAAAACTGACTGGTTTAATGCTATCACCAGTCAGTTTTTTGAAGGCGTTTACAGCAATGCTTATGGTTCAGCTAACTTTGAGAGTAGTTTCATTGTAAATAGTACACTTTGTTCTATCAGACTATGTATGAGGAAAAAGACTGCAAAGGAGAGAACAATTTACAAAACTAAGAAAATTCAAATGTTTTAGTTCTTTGAGCAAAAACTTGAAAGCTTCATATTTTTTCAAACAAAGATCGTAGAAGACTGAGAGCGGTCTTACTTTGTAGCCTAGATTTTCCTCTATAATCGGTTATGTTCAACTCAAAATCGAAGGATTTTTTACAAAAAACAGATACCTTTAATACTTATATATGACATATGTATAGTTTAATATGACATTACCTGAAAAATATAATACCACGGTAACGCTATTCCAAAATTTCCGGGATTAATTCTTTCCACATAAACAGCTAACACCATATACAATACAGACCATATAAGCATTAATAACATCAAAATACCCAAATATAATGGATAAATATCAAATAAGTTTGTATATAAATCTGTATAAGTGACGGTATAAACTAGAAAAAGTTAATCATTTTCTATTAATCTATTCTCTTCAATATAAAAAAGTGTACCCACAACTTTTTCTTTCAAATTGTAATATGACTTGTATTAAAAATAATAAACTGGTATTCGGAAATATAGTTAGAAAGTACTTAACACCTACGGGTGCTGTAGCATAGATGTCAATGAAGGTTACTACGGAAAATACAAAACTCACAACTTTTGATGTCAAAGCTAATAAACAGAAAAACAATGATTATTGATTCTGATTGGAAATTCGAGTTTTTTTGGACTCATACGTGTTGAGAAAAATTGACCGAATAAAACGCTGAATGTTGATATTTGAATCGAATATCTAGAAAAAAACGAATGATTTGATATATAAATTAATTACTGGATGGATCTCTTCTAAGTCAAACATCACGGATGCTCAATATACCGTAAACTGTAGGTTTTTCTTCTTTAAAAAAATCAGTTTTGAACCACTGATACGAAGTTTAACATTGTTTCACATTTTTATTCTTATGGATGTATATATCCGTCCGACTTTAATGATAGCAGAATTCAACAATATACACAACAATATAGGATTCTAAGGTTTGGTGTGCTATCCATCATCCATCAGTATTTAGTAAAATAGGCACCAGAATTCAACTTCTTATTGCAGCGGGAGTCGGATAGAGAAGGGTGAGCTACTTAAAAACATCCGTCAGAATTTAAGATCAAAAAGACTGCTAGATTCTGATGAAAATCTTGAATTCTAGTTTTACTGGAACTCTGTCAACCATCCGCATTCACAACAAAATAGCTTCAATGCTTATTTTCAGTATTATCATTACAGAGAGTGTTTCAGATGACACGGTTAACGTGATTCTGAAATAAAATAAACGAAGGCAATAAACAACGATTATTTTAACGTCCTTATCGAACATATTCTCTAGAGAAGCGTTATTCTAACAATCTGAACGACAAGTGGACATACTCTTAACCCGACTTATACGATTTTTTAACTGAGTAAGAGAAAGTTGCGCAAAAAGTCATTCATATTTCTATTTATCTACTCTACTACATTTCTGTTATATACGTACACAAACAACATGGTAAGTAAAACGGTCCAATGTGTTGAATTGAACACCCCTTTACTAACACTATTAGGATTTATACTTGAACGTGGCAGACGCATCAAACATAATCCAGTAACGAGAGCTGTTAATACGAGATAAATACACATTGCCCGACAAACCCATACTAAATTATTAATCCACGTATTTAAACCAAATATTCGAAAATATTCCTACAAATTCAACAAAGTATATACATAAGAAAAAGAAATGAGATAAACTAATGCAATACCTTAACTTTATTATGTCGTTCTTCGACAACATATCCAACATTCATGATAAATGTTATTGTATAAATAATTGAAATAAATATTGGAATAAAAAAATTATAAACAGAGTATAAATCATCTTCATAATACGCTGGACAACCAAAATGGTTTAAACGAACCTGAACCGAAAATTTAAGTAGTAAATTGATCGAACAAATCTAAATAGAAACGTTACATTTGATAAATTATTCATTGAGGCATTTGTGACATATTCAATAATGGCCAAATCAATAAAATATTGCATTCCCAGAAAAGCACCGGTATAATTTGCCGTATTACCGGTATCTAAAATCGAAAATAAATCTGTTATCGTATTCTAGAGTTTAAACTATATCGCAAAACACGAGATCAATTTTATACGAGACACATAAACACATAAACGTTGAAGTAAACTATAAAATTAACTTGACTGTGTCATAGTGTGAATGCTATGTAACTATTTCTGCTGTACAACAGATATCTGCGCACATGCTTTTTTCGGACTCATTTCCTATGCCCGCTAGACGGAAAAAACCCTCATGTGCACTTCCATACTCAGTTAATCGCATAGAAGATACCCGTGCGCACATCTATCCCAAGAATGTTTGTTCATGTCTCGGCATGTTACAAGCCTGTTTTAAATCTTTTCGAACTTTGTCATAAACTAATAATTCGAACTGGGCGAAGCCCGAGTCTAGGTTCGGTAGAAAACATTATTGGAATAAATACAGAACGTGAATAAAAAAGCTCAGAGTTTTACGACCTCTTATCTGATAGGAAAATGCTTACTCTATATTTCGACATACCTCTGAGGTGTCCAACTCAGTTTTCTTTCGCTCATATGCCAATCGATAGTATATATAGAGGTAGTAAAAAGCCTAAAAGGGTTCGTGCTCATGGCTCTTAAAGACCGATTTTCTGAAAAACCGGTTTTTCGAGAACTCTAAAAAATAACCAAAACCTTTTCTTAATAAGGCATGATTGTAGCGCGCGAATTTCTGATTAAAATGAGACATCTCCTACCTCTACATGACCTTTCTTTGCAAAGTTGTAGAATTTACAAGAAAAGCCCTAAATTAATTTCTTCTTATTTCTGTAGTTTTAAGCTGACAATGAACATTCAGGGCTTTTTTGTAAATTCTACAACTTTGCAAAGAAAGGTTGTGTAGAGCTGGGAGATGTCTTATTTTAATCAGAAATTTGCGCGCTACAATCATGCCTTATTAAGAAAAGGTTTTGGTTATTTTTTAGAGTTCTCGAAAAACCGATTTTTCAGAAAATCGGTCTTTAAGAGCCATGAGCACGAACCCTTTTAGGCTTTTTACTACCTCTATATATACTATCGATGGGCATATGAGCGAAAGAAAACTGAGTTGAACACCTCAGAGGGTCTCCTCGCCAGAAAGAATTTGGTCTCAATCTTCTTTCGAATTGTGTAAAATCTTAGCCTTAGCGCGCATCTGTACCGTTACTTAACTCATGATTATAGGCCTTTTTCTTTATTCATCAACGATGACTCACCATGCCTCGCAAATATCATTTAGGTTTCTCATGCAGGTTTTTCCTTAGTAAAGCTGATGAACTTCGAATAAGGTACTCTAGCGATGTAAGGAAATAAAAGTAAAGACTTTTCCGTGACCATAACCATGCCGATCACTAAAAGTGTTTTGCTCATGCACTTGGATACTCATGGTCTTGGGCACGAGCATATATACTGAGCATGTTCATTGTAAAATTGACTCTTTGTTATAAAAGTTCATTTGTTTACTTTGATTTTCTATGTTACCTTGACAAGATTGTTCCGGTGATGTTTTCCAAAGATAATCACTTTGTTCTAAAACTGTTTTGTCAGCTCGATAATTAAACACACCATTTCTAAATTAAATTTAAATTTAATATTAAAATTTGAAAGAGACATTCGGGTCGTCAGAAATGGCACCCTTCACAAACCAGTAATGCACCGTTCATTACCATTTTCACACTGCATAATTCGGGCTGTTTTACAGCAAAATAAGTCATCTGTCGTTTATGGTCTTCTTTGAAAAGATGTTCTTTTCCCCGTTAACAACTTGCTAGTCCTGTAAAAGTTCACGTTTCGTTCCTCGCATGCTAACGCACTGGTGAACGTGAGCTTTTTTTATACGAACGGTGTTCATATTGTCTGACGTAAATACAAAATTCTGTTCTTGTACTATAGTAAGAACATATGTATTTCTACTTGGTGCTACCTGATCAATAGAAACTCTAGTGAACGATCAGATGGTTTGCTCAGGCAGTGACCAGATTATTGCAATGTAAAAAGGACAGCCATTGATTCTCTGATCAAGACATTGATTCTTCCAAGAACAGGTCGCCGATTTCCTGACCAGACGACTAGTTTTTCCTGCAGTGAAACCGAAGTTCCATAGTCCGACCCATTTCCGTAACTACATACTTTTTTCTTTGTTATCGTAACCCGTTTGGGAGCTAATGAGCGTTGATTTTTCACTAAATATAACTGGTAATGGACAAAGTACCAGTTCAAAGACTCAAGGGCACTTCCTTTAATTCAAGAACGAGAAAACTTTTTCAAAGTAGATCAGTATTTTATATATACGCGTAGTGGAAGTACAATAGAACGATGAATAACTTCAATACGGCGCACTTGCTGAGACCTTTTAATTCAGAAGAAACGGTAGTAAAAATCAAAATGGAGAATATGTTCCATTAACTGTAGATCGTTATTAACGGTTAAAATAATCGCCGTAAACAGATCAATTTTTAGCCGTTTGAAGCAGTACCCAGTTCTACAATTCCATAGAAATTCCAAGGATTGATGAAACTCGACAAGTTCAACAAATATTCCGGCTAAGATTCTGGTCAGTTCTGCAATATTTCCGCCGAAATTGCATATAGTTCGTATGGGAGATGGGGACGCTGTAGCGTGGAAGTGAGTAATGGGGTGGTTATGTGAATTCTGTTGAATTCTAGAATTTCCATGGAACTGTGGAACTTGCACTCGCCGTTTGTTAAACCGTGTCGATTGAACTGATTAACTGAGATAAAATATTATTCTTACTCTTGCATTCTCAAAGTATATGTAACTTGATCTGGAAGCGATACTGAACTTGAGCATGTTAAATTAACATTTGTGAAATAAATAAAAGCATAAGTTTGTTGTTGAGTAGACATTGGTAAACTATCAATATCAGAATTTGATAAACTTTGAACTAAACTTTATAATTATGAGTAAAAGATTATTATATTAAACAATAAAATTACCCGTAGGTGAAAATACTGGCCAACTTGTTTTTAAGTGCCTCACAGTATTATTTACAATAGAACTTGTACATGTAGTTGCCGGATAATAATATATGAATGATGATGTTGTACTATTTTCTAGTGTCATTAAATCTTGCGGAAGAAATCGAGCAATTCGATACGGTCCTCGATATTGTCGATCCATTACGTAACGCATACCCAATAGAAAACCCAGAAACAAACATCCCAAAATCAACTCAGCGATTGTTTGACCTTTTTTACGAAAAGAAAGTAGAAAACTTTTGAATAATAGCGCACGAAATTGTAAAAAATACATTATCTACAACACATTACAAATACACAATTTTTAAATACAACAGTAGATTGAAAAGTAGGGTAGACATACGTGACAAACGTTCCTTTCTTATATTTATGGTTACCAGTCTAACATGTTGAATATGGGCGACAATGTAGGTACTAGAACAAATAATGTTATGGGAAAGATGTAGAATGGAAGGTATCAAGACGAAGATTCCACCCAAGACAGTGAGAATCAGCATATCTGAAGTTTCATCGGTGGTTAATAAAATTCGTCATCTGTCCTGTCGTTCTTGAAATACTAAGAAAATTCTTACTAAAATCGATAAAAACCACCAAAGAATTATTTTTAAAAACTCAATTCAAACAATTTTATGTATGTATTTGGATCTATCGGACTTCTTATTAATGGGGAAATGTTTGGGTTTGAACATGAAGTCCAAAATTTAGTCTCCATGAGAACAAATTGTCAATAAATGAATCTCTGATGTGTAATAAATTTTCTCTTTTCATTCTCTCAATTCTTACTCAAAACTGTGCAAAATGTACATACACCATATATGCAGAAAAATGCCGTTTTCTATCTGAAACGCAATACAGTTTTTACAAAAAAAAACATATTGTGTTCGCCGGTGAACCACAATAAGACAAAAACAGATTAATTAAGAAAAAAAAGCTGAAAATGTCCACTGTGGGTCGCCTACTTTGTCGTCAGACTTTCCGAAGTATAGCAAAATTCTGTTTGAGCGGTGTGGCTCAGTCGTCTATGGGGCAGACAACGTGCTTCAAAAATACGGAGTTCGAATCGCGGCAATGGCGATCTCGTGTTAGTCTTGGGCAAGCTATCATTCAAGTTATCTCATTGCCTCGGTACCTTTGGCACAGATGCAGTGGGGTAACCCGATTTTAGTGGCCGTTGGGTTGGAGAGAGGAGAATTAAAGTTTAAAAAAACATTCTGTATTGGATGCTTAATAATTGCTTAGTGTTTAATTACAACACTCTCTAAAACTTTTGCAAGAGTATTTTGATTTTTTCGAAAAAGTGCTGGGGTTTAAACTCTTCTAAATCGCTAAGAATTTCACAGACCGAAGAACCTTTTTGAAGGTATATATCGTGCTACTTGCGTTTTACACGAAGAGTATGTCTCGATCTGGAGCCAAACCCACAACCGACTGGTTTTGGACCAAAAGGTTTTGAACACTGAAATATCGAAACACAATCTAATGCACTTTACACTTTCGAATGATTTTAATCATCAGAAGGCTTTTTAACATCGACATGTGTTTATAACGTACTCTTTTCTCCTTTGTTTGACCATCGTGTAAAGGGGAAGTACTACAATAGATGTCGTTATCTACACAACTATACTTTCAACCAGTACTTTCAAAAACACCTTTTGGCGATTTTGAGGATTCTCTGCTCGGGGGTTTTTCTAGAGAGAGAGTTCCAAAGAAAGCCAGCATAAGTTGTAATGCTAGTCTCAGGAAAAATGAACAATTTACTGAACGAAAATTTAGTCAGATTATTTATTCTATAATTTTTTATCTTACCTAATTTGTGTTCTGATCAATTTCCGTTTTATAAATGTACGCGCGTAAAATACTCGGTAAGTCAGTCCTAGGTCATGTTTAACCACAGAAGTACTTTTAAAAAGTTCAATTACATCAGTAGACCAAAATAATGAATTCAATCTGAATATCTTTTTTGTTGTACTTTACTATTTTTACCCGTTCTTTGTTTTTTATGTTGTTTTTCTTCCTACAAAAACACCTTCTACATGTTGACAAAAGATAAGTATAGATGACAAACAGAAAAAATGTATATCACACAAAAATCAGTTGTATGTTTGAAAGTTTGTTGTATCTCGTAAAAACACACATAATATGACGAGTTGGGATTGCGATGACAGAACTGAAGAAAATTAAATCATTTTCTTGAGTCATTGAGTCAAGTTCAATTACAAGAGAATAACAGCTGACAAATGAAGCCATGTGTTCAACCAAAACATAAGTTTCCTTTTAAACTCAATAACTCACTGTGATGAGCAACATTTTCTGGTCACTGTCGAACGTAATATTGTTTAAAATTCCTAAATAAAAATA